TATTAGCCTCTGAGAAACGTGCCTTGATGGTATTTTATTGCATTTTCCTATGTGTGCATCCCCCGTTTTTTTAATGTTTTCTCTGCTGTACTTTTTTTAGGTACTCAAAATTTTGATGTCATTAGATTTGCTTCTTACCGCACAGCTTGCAAATTGAGATTTATACAAAAGAAACTTCACTGTAAGTATTTAATGACTAATCGATAATCTTAAGCGGGAACATATAACAAAAAAAAAAATAAACAAAAATTATATTAAAAAAAAGATAATAAATATAACGATTTAAAAAAAATATATAAATGTAAAAAAAAAGTTCATAAAGGGCAAGCCTCAAATGGCCTGTGTATATTTGATCGTGCACTGCTAGTATTATGTCTTACATTATGCAGACTACATCCACAACTGCTGCTTTTATCTGGGCCCCAGTGTACCTGATCAATATCTGGAATATCATCGAGGCTTTCCGGGAAAATGGTCTAAACAATATGGAACTCAGGACCGAAATAAACGTTTCACATCTGGAAACCCTCCTGTCGTCCATTTTTTACCAATTGAATAAAAGACTGCCATCTGCTCAACAGCTCGACATCAATCTGTGTACAGCGAAAGTACTCAACTGGCTTTTGGCACTATACGATAAGTAAGCTATATAGGCCTTAAGTTTCTGTATCAGTAATACTGTAGTTACGGCATGGAATTAAATACCTTTTTTCTTTTTTAATTTTAAATAGAGAAGACAGAAGCAAAATTTCTGCATTTTCACTTAAAGTTGCGCTAGCCACAATGTGTGCAGGGAAGCTTATGGATAAATTGAGATGTAAGTCGATTTTGACGTAAATGACGTTAAAGATGAATTTGCTTTTAAGTTAAACGACGAGATGTAATTTATTTTCATGGAAATATAGATTCTAAAATTATGACAATCCATTGGAGAACTATTTAATTTGTTAAATGATATCTTCAATGAGTATTAATTGCATTTTTAACAATAATAAAGTTGATTATATTGGGGTTTTATCAACTTATTCGTGTTTAAAATGTAAATTTCTACGTACGAAAAGCTGTAAATAGATGATATTTTAATAAAAATCCTAAAATTTACTCCTATTATTGGAGGTTATTTTCGTTAAGATTGAGAATATTACAACAATTATTTTGAATGCGCCAAAAATTGTCTTCGGTGATTAAGTGGGAATATTTTTAAAGTGTGTTCGAGATGCCTGGGGAATTCCAAAAAACATCGCCCTTTAAATCCTCGTAGAGCTGGATTTGAAGTTCAGACTAGTTATCCCCCTTAAGAAGATGCTCTTCAGCACTGCTAAAGAGAAGTTAAAGGGTAGCATCAATCTTGCTACCCTTTAACTTCTTACCTTCACAACCTTACCTTTCTGCAAAAACCGCAAAGTTCGCTTTCATTTTTTTGGCATTTAAGTACAGCATAAAAGCTGAATGCCAGCGACACAGATTTTTCTGCAGTGCTGCAGAGCAGTAGCTATTCGGAAATTTAAACTCTTCTAGCGCTGTTTGTAAGGACATTTTTAAATTCTCAGGCATCTAGAACGCTGTCAAAATATCTCCACTTGGTCGCAAAAGACCCTGTATAAGAACAAAATTCAGTTAAAAACGTCTTACTCAAATACTTTATTATTATAAACTTTACAGAAATCGCCCAAATATGAGATCAGTCTTGTTACATTGCTTTATTTCAGAACACACTGAAACAAAATACGGTTAGATGACTTTTGGGCCACCCTGTATACTATATGAAACTATTTTCAAACTTTTTTTTATCTTTTTATTATTACAGATATATTCTCGCTTATATCCGAACCAAATGGATTATTAATTCATACACGTTTTGCCGACTTTTTAAAAGAAGCATTGGTTCTTCCATGTGCTGTTTATGAATCGCCGACATTTTCGTTTAAAGAGAGTTTAGCTAGTAGAATTTTTGATCACGTAATTGTTTACTTTCAAAAGAATTATTTGATTAATTGATTTATAAGTTTTTAATCTGAATTAATTTTTTTTCCAGAGATCTAAAATAACAGTTAATGATTTTCTGGACACAATCATTTCCGATCCCGGTCCTTCCTGTCTTGTATGGCTTCCTCTTCTGCATCGTTTGGCTAATGTGGAAAATGGTAAGACAATGGCCAATTTATATTATTAAATACAAACAGCTTAAATGATATATTTTCGATAATTTAACTGAATTTTAATCTAATTTTCGTCGATAGTTTTTCATCCCGTTCAATGCGATGGTTGCAACAGAGAATCTTTCAGAGGTTTCAGATATAAATGCCAGCAGTGTTATAATTATCAATTATGTCAGGATTGTTTTTGGAGAGGAAGGATTTCCGGAAATCATTCAAATCAACACGAAATGAAGGAATATACAACATACGTAAGGATATTCTTTGATCATAAACTTATTCTCCTTCCAAGTATATTTTTAAAAAATACTGTTCTATGTTACAGAAATCGCCCAGTAAACAACTCGGCCATTCATTAAGAAAATCATTTCAATGTGTTCCGGAGAAACCAGCAAACGTTTTCCCTCGTTTTCCGGAAAAACCAGAGAGACCTCTTAATTTATCTCATATCGTGTAAGTAATTTTCTTTTTTTAATATACATATATAACCATTTTTAAAATTCTAGAATGTAATAATTTCGAATAAAATAAATCATAAAGTCCAGCATCTCCTGCCACGTTTCAAAATGGATTTTCGGAAGTGCCATGTCGTTCTGTCGAAAAATATCCCGTGGAAAGTCATTCGAGTCATGCTGTAGCCAAAAGGTTTGTAAATTACCTTTTAAAACACAGCTTTTTTTTTTTTTGATTTCCAAACTGATTATATTCATTCATTAAAATAGTTTCTTAGAATTTACTCCAATAAGAGCTAGAAAATCTCTCTCTATAACGATTTTTCTTATCGTTTCATCAGAATCGAAAAGTTCATTGAGATTCAAAGCATTAAAATTTATTTTATCGCATACATTTTTTACAAGAAAAACACATTAAACATACATACAACGATAAGGGGGAAAAAAACTATTTAAATTATAATTAGTAACAATTCGAATAAGTTTAGACAGGACTGTAAAATGAGTTCAGAGCAATCTCGTGTTCTGAATACGCAGAAAACGAAACATGGTTAACTGTCTTTTGGACCACCCTGTAAATCTAATATTTAGGAGCTGCTCTAAATATATATCGCATGACGCGAGTTCATGAGAAACGGGAAAAATCGACCACGTTAATTAATGTAATGATGATTCAATACAATTAATAACATTTTCAATCCAACACAGCTTAATGCTTTCCATATTTATTCCTATCTCGAGTCGATATTATTAACGAGGTCTAAGAGGATATCGATTTAAAAGCTCTAGAGCGAAATTTAAACTATTTCTTTTAAAATCGTGTACGTTTGAAGAGGCGAGATAAGAACAAAGTAGTGGTAATATAGTTATTTGACTGTCAGCTACTTGTGTTTCGAGTTTAGATGTTAGTTAAGTCGACGTTTTTGATGATTATTACAGACATTAAATATAAATTTTAATTTATTTTTGGTGTTAAAATTAGAAAAAACAAGTTATTTTGTATATAAAAATGTAACTTAAAAGGCAAGCAAAATTTCTAATAAAGCGAAGTTATAAAATTATTATGCTGAAAATTTTCAAATTGCAGACCAATAGATTCCCACTATCGTCCGTCCGTCGTTCCTTAAAGGAGTTAGATAGATGAAAATTGAGACCAGATATAGAAAGCTCAGGGAAAGAAGCCCCGATTAACTATATACGAACTTCCGGAATAGATCAGAAGTTATGCAGTATGATTAACACACTCCCTCTCCTCGGCGGGGGAAATTTCGGAAAGTCCCTTCCTTGTGTACATTCTCATCACGTACCCTAACTGTGTACTAAATTTCAATTTTCAACTCCTAACCGTTTGGGCTCTGCACTTAATATTAACTCGATTATAAGATTAAGCTCTGTTGAATCATCAAAAATAACCTTTTAAAATTGTTTTGTAATGCCACAAGAAACAAAATGATATCCACTTGTTCTTATTGGCATAAATAAAAGTTTCGTTTTTAAAGCAATCTGTCAAACTATTTCATTGAATACGATAAAACAAAATTTTATCAATTTATAACAATGTACACGCATCGTTTTCTAATATCTAAGTTTACAACAAATTTAGATAAATCAATACAAACTGCTAATTAAAATTTAATTGTTTTGTATAATTGCTTTCAGTTTTTCTTGATTTTTTTTTATTTAAAAAAACTCATAATAAAATCAAAAAGATAGAATTAATAAAGAAAAGAATTATGCATTTTAGAAATATTTTTTTGTTTTTGTAATAAAAAATGGCGGCTACGTCTATCTTGCGTCATTGCTCTTTCTTTCAGATATAATTCGTGTAAATTTATTTTTTAAAAGATCAATACATAATAATTAATTTTTAAGACAATCGACAAATTTGAATAAAGTTGGATGGTCTAAAAGTCAATTAACTGTATTGTTTGCGAGCGATTTCGTCAATTTTGTTGCATCAAAGTAATTTACGAAATTATACCAAAACGTTGGTCGGTGCTATTGATCAGTGGTTAACCGACTTTTGGGCCACATTGTATTTGTGATCCCGATGTGAATCATCATCATGAGCATGAATACAAGGTGGGCCAAAAGTCAGCTTGAGTGATTATGAGATCAAATGTGTTCTACGCCTTGCAGCGATGTGCCCTGCAATATATATATAGGCCTATATTTTTTGAGGAAATATATAAATTTGTTTAGACGTTATATTAAAATTATGAAGGAATTCTATGAGGTTTATATTTTGTATTCAAGACATGCCACAAAGCAGGAACCAATTTAATACTAATTGCATCTACGATAGCGTTTCTATACAAAAATCAAATAGGAATTGGAGAAAAGGGAATTGATTTTCCGATGAGTAAAATCAATGTTAATTTAAAATTACATGTTTTTCTCGGGCAAAATTGATTGGGCCTCGTGTTCCAAAATGATTGAAAGAACATTTTTGCTTCCATTGATCAATCCTAATCCAATTTCATTCATAGAAATACCGGGTTAAGAGGCCAAAACGTTCTCTATGCTTTATTACTGCTGGATTCTTCATTGATCTTAAAATATATTTTTCTTCCTTCACGAATCTATTCATTTAGAATATGTTAGGAAATGTCTGACCTTTTTAATCACATTGTCAAATTTTCCAGTTGTATTTCAAATTGAGTAAAAGTTTCATGGACAAATGAATTTATAATTAGAAAGTCAATAGTTCCTTTTAGTTTCATTTCAGTAAGAAAACAAGTAAAAATCTAGCAGCAAGTTGCGTAACTTTCCCGGCACGAGTTAAAATTGTATGTGGCTCTGTTAAAGGTTTTTTTTAAAAAAAAAATAAAATCTCGTATTATTAATTGTTATAAAATGGCAAAAAAGCTTTTGTGATAAAGATGAGTTATTAGCATTTATAGTTGTCCCCACTCGAGATACGATACGTAATGCCCGTCTATCTCCCCACCTCCTCGATCTTTAACCACCAAATTTTAACAGCCTCAATGCCCTGATCTCCTCGCAAAATTTCAGAAATTTTCGAGAAAAGACACAGGAGTTATTACATTAAATGTTAAATTTTTGGACCAAAAAAAGCCTGTGGAAATACGTTAAAACGTATAAAAATAGTTTAAAATTAGGTACAAATAGATTTGATTACAATTGACTGTTTAGTGTACGAAAACCAATTACTTAATCTTAATTAAAGCAATTCATATTTCGTTTATTAATATGGAAGTAACTTAATGATCAGTTTTGAGATATAAGTTGGCAAATCCCAACAGACTCTTAATCGCCAATTACATAGACGACAGATATTTACACGTAGATTTCTTTATGAAAATGGTCTACAAATTGAGTTTACTCGATAATTCATTTGCTAAAAAAAAATATATATTAGAATTTAATACAGAAGGACAAATAAGTCAACACTTTCCAATTTACTTTTAATATTAAAAGATGATTTAAAAATGTAAATAACTCGTAAGATTTTATAATGAATTCAAGCGCTGTTTAAATAAACTTAAACAGAACAAACGATATGATATTTAGCAAAAATTTATTTATTTAAGAGTTTTTTTCGAAAGAAAATTATTATTATGGTTATCTTCGTTAATAATCTTTCCGGAATTCATTGTAAAAAAGTTATGTAGTAAAAACCTGTATAAACCGGGATAGTTTTTCCGTTTTAGACAGGTTTTATTTTACTTTTTTTTAAATTAAGACTTCAACAATATTAATATCGTTTACTTAAAAATTTCCTTCTTTTATTGTTTTCTGTAACCTTCAGAAGCTAAAATTTATTATTAAATTTCAGTCCACAGTACGCTTCGTCCGTGGAAGCGTATCAAGAAGAAGAACATAATCTTATAGCTCGATACGCTGCACATCTAGCAGATTCATCTTCAGTAAGAATTAAGATTTTTAACGTTCTTATCATAACTTTTAGACTGTATATATTAACAAGAGGCTTTTTTTTTCTTTTACAGTTAAGAAGCCCATCCGAAATTAGCTTATCTCAAGATACTAACAAGCAGCAAGAATTGATACTTCAACTCGAAAATGAGAACAGGTATAATCCAATTTTTATAAATCCGAAATTCCCGCTTACATCAACAAATTTATTTATAATTTTATCTACTATTTTAGGGATATAATGAGAAAGATTATGTGTCTTCGACAACAACAAATGGGTGCCTTGGTACCAACAAATAAAAGTTCGACATTGATCAGCGAGTTGCATATACTTCGACAAAGAAAAAACGAATTAGAGACTCATCTATGTGATTTACAAGAAAGTAGACGAGAATTAATGATTCAACTCGAAGCACTGATGAAACTGTTAAAAGTAATTTAATAGTTTAACCATTATACACGCATCGTTTGCTACCATTAATTAATTTTTAAAATATTTATTAGAATCATCAAGGGTTACCTACGACACCGAGTAGCTCTCACTCAGGAACTAACAGATCGCTTCTTTTTACTACACCCTATCCACTGTCTTCGTCACGAAGCGCGCCGACCACTCCGGGAAGTGGCATCCCTACTTTTGAAAGTTTTTCAGGAGTAGGAGCCAAGCATCTCCCATTTACTTCTTCCGCCAGCACACGGAGCTTACAGAATGATTTATTAATCGCAGCAGATTCGGTTACAAATGCCATGTCTTCATTAGTCAGAGAACTGAATTCCGGTAGGAATTTTTAAATATTTTAAAAATATTCCCAGTTGCGTGACTCGAAATTTATTGATTTCAAATCCACTGTTACAAACAGGATCGGAGGATGAGGAGAGATTACAGGATCATAAACTACTGAGCAGTAGCAGAGGTAAGCAAAGATAGCTAATTGAATTGTTTCTGGAAGCAGGGAAAAAACAATACATTCGGTGTTACAGATTTCGAAACGGAAGACACCGAAAGTCCTGGGGATAGTTTAGAGATTGGGAGCACATTATGGCAAGAAAAATGCCACCGTTCCGATGAGAATAGATTCCTGGAAGAGATATGCGCTAGGAACGTCACAAATACCTCACCTGGGGCCATAGGTGGAATCGATGATACAGAAACTCAAGAACTTTACGATGGAGAAATTGGGGTGAGTATGTTACAGCAAAGAAACACAATGCCCTATTTTTATTTTGTTTTAGTTCCTTCACTTATTATTTATTTTAATTATTATTTTTTTCTGTTTGTTTCCTTTTTCGTTCGCTTCAGATTTCGTTGTTTCGAAGACAGAAAAATCATTAAACAAAAATTACTTTATTATTACTGAATTACCTTCTGCTGTTTTTAATCGTTGATTACAGGATTTAGATTTGTCTTATCATCACACCTCATTTACCACCGACGACGAGAGTTATGTTCGAACAGATGATGACGATGATGAAGGAGCAAACGCAGACTGGGAAGATAACATGAAACGTTGGGTAAATCGATAAAAGACAGGTTGGATTTCCTAACGTATGCAATCATTATATGCAGTTGATTTTAAAATTTTTCGAACATGTTTTCGCTTCGATTGGTACATGTTGCATTGTTGCAGTTTTCTGTTGTTTAAAAAGACGAAAAAAAAAAAAGAAATTGTAAAACTGAATTTCTTAAGTATTAATAAATCTTAAAATATCAGTATCTGCAGTGGGTAAGTCCGTTAAGTTATTATACCGCTAATTTTATAATAGATATAAAAGAATCATTGATAAACACAATAAAATAAAAGTGGTAAAACATACAGGACAGTTTTGCATGTTAAATTTGTTAATTATAACTGATTTAGTACATAAATTACACTAAAAATACACAAAATACAAGACGTTCTAACGAGTAGACATACATAAAAAAAAAAAGGTAGTAATCGAGACCCAGACAGAAAAATGCGTTTTGGTCGCCTCGGGCGGGAACTAAACCCACACATTCTTTGATAACACACACACTGAATGTCCTAGTCACGTAAGCTATCAGAACATACTTAAAGATACTTTCTAATGGAACCCCTAGCTTTATCTCGAGAACAGTAACTTCATCACATTACCTGTTTCAGATAAAAATCTAAATTTATTTTATGAACGCACATAAGTTTGATAAAATAAAATTTTAAATTTATTTATCCATCACAATACAGCATTGAAATTCTGAAAAAAAAAAATTCTTCTTTATAAAGAAATTTATTTTTGTAGATAAATTACTGCAATAAATGATGATAAAATTCCATGGATAATCAGCAGCAAAATTTCTCCAGGTTTGTCGAAATGTGCATTGTATGATATAGATTTTATAATATATGAATACCATATGAAAAATCCATGAAATTACCACAGGGTGGTCCAAAAGTCAGTTAACCAAGATTATTTGGTCAAATCTGATGTTTACGTGTAGATATCGTACATTTTTTTAAGGCCTATCTTTGCCAATTATAGCAAAATATCTTGGGATTAATGCATCCTTAATCATTAGTTTTAAGGTCATAATAGTATCTATACATTAGTCGCATACGACATTAATTAATATGCCCATATTCACAAGTAAGGAACAAGATTTGGAAGTTACTTTTGATACGTGAATGCCTATTGATTAACGTGAAGAATGTCCGAAAAACTCCACGCGACGAGGCGAAGATCGAACCCACGACCAACAATGTTCGATGTTTAATATATTATATATACAACTTAGTATTTAGAGCATTTATGATTTTATAGAATACAAAATTTTATGCTTTGTTTTACTGTGAAAATTTTATTTTACAACTTTATTTTTTTTTTGTTTTTTTCTTAATAGACTTTTCTTATAATTTTGCATGATTGATGAACTATAATTTAAACTACACACAAAGTTATTATAAGAAAATTTATACAGAAACCGAAAGGGATATCGTCATGCGATACGAAATTAACCTGGAGATTTCGACTTTCTCACAAAAGCAGACGGAAACGTCCATTGATTTCACACGTTATTGGCGTATCAAATGATCAAGTGAGTCACGAAAATTAAAATATGTTAGAAATTATTATGCTTAAATATTAAAATAAATATTTTTATAAAAATCAATACACATTAAATTCACAAAATATGCTAAGTTTTCGGTCACTTCACATACTAAAGAATCACGTACTTGGTTTATTCACGTGTCGGAATACGCGATTAAATCAAGAAGGTGAAAGGAACTTTAATAATGATTTTAAAATACATATTGAGTAATATATAAAATATAAATTTAATTTTATACACGCTTATCATCAAGAAATCTAACATAGTACCGAATTAGGAGATTTAATTCTCTTATTTATACAATAGAAACTAAACCACGATTATAATTTTAGTAGTACAAATGGATAGAAATCAAAATACATCTTAAGTTCTTGTCTAAGATTATGAAATTGTAGCAGGAGATTGCCAAGTAATTATTTCTTCATTAGTAAAAATCGCATAGCAACACTTTTTTGAATTCAAATCTGGGTTACACATGGCGTAGTAGTCACGGAAACAGGTTTTAGTTTTATTCGTATGCGGCAACCGAAGGGAAAACTTCACGGGAGATCTTTTATCGGAAAACTGGCCTCTATTTAGGTGTTATTAACGTGAAGAAAACCCGGAATAAACTCCACGTTAGCGAGATGCGAACCCACGATTAACTATATACGAACTTCAGGTCTGAACCGGAATTCAAATGATTTCAATTCGAAGTTTTCTCATCAACGGTGTTAGATGACCGGCCTGACTCGATTGTTATCAGGAGAAGTATGATGTACAGGGACAAGGACTACTAAGGCTGAATCCAGGTTCAGATGTGGAAAGTTCAGGGGAAGAATACACCGACTATATACGAACTTCCTGTCCAGACCAGAAGTCATGTGATTTTTTAAATTAAAAGATGACAAAACATTGTAATCAGGCATTGTGACGATGCCACAATATATAATTCTATGTTTTAATATTATAATACTGTAATAGATTATGCAATATATTATATTATTGTGTGTTAATATATTTAGAAAGACGTAGGGTAAGTAGATTTTAAACAAATCAAACATTTTAAATATTTTTAAGTTCGTAAATATAAAGCCATCGTCATCTCCATTANTTTTTTTCAGAGAGGAAATTATTTATAATAAATGAGATACGCTTATATAAAACTCGGCCCAAAATTCAGTTGGCAGTGTGTTCCAGATATACTTTCGAACACTAATCCAAACGTGTTCTTCCTTTACTGTAAGCGTGATTGAGATAAGCCAGCTTTTACAATTGTTAACTGACTTTTGGACCACCCTGTATAATTATTATATCGATATTTTAAGAAGGAATTTATTAAGTTTTTTTTTCATATATGTTACGACGAAGCTTTTGTTTTAATTGATAATTTTTTTCTTTTTTTAATTTAGGTAAGAAGAAATATTAAAAAAGTACTGCTGTAGTTTATCACCAAGTTAAATAGTTTTAATTAATAAAAAAAATTAATGCATAATAATATTAATAATTTCTGAATTTTTTCTTCTTTGATAGATTTTTTTTTTTTAAAAAAAAATGGATTCCGGTAGATATTGCGAATACGCCACTTCTAGTTCCGGCACTCGAATAGATTATCGTCATTTGTTATCGGAGATGAGTGAGTTAAGACATAATATTAGCCTCTGAGAAATGTGCCTTGATGGTATTTTATTGCATTTTCCTATGTGTGCATCCCCCGTTTTTTTAATGTTTTCTCTGCTGTACTTTTTTTAGGTACTCAAAATTTTGATGTCATTAGATTTGCTTCTTACCGCACAGCTTGCAAATTGAGATTTATACAAAAGAAACTTCACTGTAAGTATTTAATGACTAATCGATAATCTTAAGCGGGAACATATAACAAAAAAAAAAATAAACAAAAATTATATTAAAAAAAAGATAATAAATATAACGATTTAAAAAAAATATATAAATGTAAAAAAAAAGTTCATAAAGGGCAAGCCTCAAATGGCCTGTGTATATTTGATCGTGCACTGCTAGTATTATGTCTTACATTATGCAGACTACATCCACAACTGCTGCTTTTATCTGGGCCCCAGTGTACCTGATCAATATCTGGAATATCATCGAGGCTTTCCGGGAAAATGGTCTAAACAATATGGAACTCAGGACCGAAATAAACGTTTCACATCTGGAAACCCTCCTGTCGTCCATTTTTTACCAATTGAATAAAAGACTGCCATCTGCTCAACAGCTCGACATCAATCTGTGTACAGCGAAAGTACTCAACTGGCTTTTGGCACTATACGATAAGTAAGCTATATAGGCCTTAAGTTTCTGTATCAGTAATACTGTAGTTACGGCATGGAATTAAATACCTTTTTTCTTTTTTAATTTTAAATAGAGAAGACAGAAGCAAAATTTCTGCATTTTCGCTTAAAGTTGCGCTAGCCACAATGTGTGCAGGGAAGCTTATGGATAAATTGAGATGTAAGTCGATTTTGACGTAAATGACGTTAAAGATGAATTTGCTTTTAAGTTAAACGACGAGATGTAATTTATTTTCATGGAAATCTAGATTCTAAAATTATGACAATCCATTGGAGAACTATTTAATTTGTTAAATGATATCTTCAATGAGTATTAATTGCATTTTTAACAACAATAAAGTTGATAAAACCCCAATATAATCAACTTATTCGTGTTTAAAATGTAAATTTCTACGTACGAAAAGCTGTAAATAGATGATATTTTAATAAAATTCCTAAAATTAGCTCCTATTATTGGAGGTTATTTTCATTAAGATTGAGAATATTACAACAATTATTTTGTATTTTGAATGCGCCAAAAATTGTCTTCGGTGATTAAGTGGGAATATTTTTAAAGTGTGTTCGAGATGCCTGGGGAATTCCAAAAAAACATCGCCCTTTAAATCCTCGTAGAGCTGAATTTGAAGTTCAGACTAGTTATCCCCCTTAAGAAGATGCTCTTCAGCACTGCTAAAAAGAAGTTAAAGGGTAGCATCAATCTTGCTACCCTTTAACTTCTTACCTTCACAACCTTACCTTTCTGCAAAAACCGCAAAGTTCGCTTTCATTTTTTTGGCATTTAAGTACAGCATAAAAGCTGAATGCCAGCGACACAGATTTTTCTGCAGTGCTGCAGAGCAGTAGCTATTCGGAAATTTAAACTCTTCTAGCGCTGTTTGTAAGGACATTTTTAAATTCTCAGGCATCTAGAACGCTGTCAAAATATCTCCACTTGGTCGCAAAAGACCCTGTATAAGAACAAAATTCAGTTAAAAACGTCTTACTCAAATACTTTATTATTATAAACTTTACAGAAATCGCCCAAATATGAGATCAGTCTTGTTACATTGCTTTATTTCAGAACACACTGAAACAAAATACGGTTAGATGACTTTTGGGCCACCCTGTATACTATATGAAACTATTTTCAAACTTTTTTTTATCTTTTTATTATTACAGATATATTCTCGCTTATATCCGAACCAAATGGATTATTAATTCATACACGTTTTGCCGACTTTTTAAAAGAAGCATTGGTTCTTCCATGTGCTGTTTATGAATCGCCGACATTTTCGTTTAAAGAGAGTTTAGCTAGTAGAATTTTTGATCACGTAATTGTTTACTTTCAAAAGAATTATTTGATTAATTGATTTATAAGTTTTTAATCTGAATTAATTTTTTTTCCAGAGATCTAAAATAACAGTTAATGATTTTCTGGACACAATCATTTCCGATCCCGGTCCTTCCTGTCTTGTATGGCTTCCTCTTCTGCATCGTTTGGCTAATGTGGAAAATGGTAAGACAATGGCCAATTTATATTATTAAATACAAACAGCTTAAATGATATATTTTCGATAATTTAACTGAATTTTAATCTAATTTTCGTCGATAGTTTTTCATCCCGTTCAATGCGATGGTTGCAACAGAGAATCTTTCAGAGGTTTCAGATATAAATGCCAGCAGTGTTATAATTATCAATTATGTCAGGATTGTTTTTGGAGAGGAAGGATTTCCGGAAATCATTCAAATCAACACGAAATGAAGGAATATACAACATACGTAAGGATATTCTTTGATCATAAACTTATTCTCCTTCCAAGTATATTTTTAAAAAATACTGTTCTATGTTACAGAAATCGCCCAGTAAACAACTCGGCCATTCATTAAGAAAATCATTTCAATGTGTTCCGGAGAAACCAGCAAACGTTTTCCCTCGTTTTCCGGAAAAACCAGAGAGACCTCTTAATTTATCTCATATCGTGTAAGTAATTTTCTTTTTTTAATATACATATATAACCATTTTTAAAATTCTAGAATGTAATAATTTCGAATAAAATAAATCATAAAGTCCAGCATCTCCTGCCACGTTTCAAAATGGATTTTCGGAAGTGCCATGTCGTTCTGTCGAAAAATATCCCGTGGAAAGTCATTCGAGTCATGCTGTAGCCAAAAGGTTTGTAAATTACCTTTTAAAACACAGCTTTTTTTTTTTTTGATTTCCAAACTGATTATATTCATTCATTAAAATAGTTTCTTAGAATTTACTCCAATAAGAGCTAGAAAATCTCTCTCTATAACGATTTTTCTTATCGTTTCATCAGAATCGAAAAGTTCATTGAGATTCAAAGCATTAAAATTTATTTTATCGCATACATTTTTTACAAGAAAAACACATTAAACATACATACAACGATAAGGGGGAAAAAAACTATTTAAATTATAATTAGTAACAATTCGAATAAGTTTAGACAGGACTGTAAAATGAGTTCAGAGCAATCTCGTGTTCTGAATACGCAGAAAACGAAACATGGTTAACTGTCTTTTGGACCACCCTGTAAATCTAATATTTAGGAGCTGCTCTAAATATATATCGCATGACGCGAGTTCATGAGAAACGGGAAAAATCGACCACGTTAATTAATGTAATGATGATTCAATACAATTAATAACATTTTCAATCCAACACAGCTTAATGCTTTCCATATTTATTCCTATCTCGAGTCGATATTATTAACGAGGTCTAAGAGGATATCGATTTAAAAGCTCTAGAGCGAAATTTAAACTATTTCTTTTAAAATCGTGTACGTTTGAAGAGGCGAGATAAGAACAAAGTAGTGGTAATATAGTTATTTGACTGTCAGCTACTTGTGTTTCGAGTTTAGATGTTAGTTAAGTCGACGTTTTTGATGATTATTACAGACATTAAATATAAATTTTAATTTATTTTTGGTGTTAAAATTAGAAAAAACAAGTTATTTTGTATATAAAAATGTAACTTAAAAGGCAAGCAAAATTTCTAATAAAGCGAAGTTATAAAATTATTATGCTGAAAATTTTCAAATTGCAGACCAATAGATTCCCACTATCGTCCGTCCGTCGTTCCTTAAAGGAGTTAGATAGATGAAAATTGAGACCAGATATAGAAAGCTCAGGGAAAGAAGCCCCGATTAACTATATACGAACTTCCGGAATAGATCAGAAGTTATGCAGTATGATTAACACACTCCCTCTCCTCGGCGGGGGAAATTTCGGAAAGTCCCTTCCTTGTGTACATTCTCATCACGTACCCTAACTGTGTACTAAATTTCAATTTTCAACTCCTAACCGTTTGGGCTCTGCACTTAATATTAACTCGATTATAAGATTAAGCTCTGTTGAATCATCAAAAATAACCTTTTAAAATTGTTTTGTAATGCCACAAGAAACAAAATGATATCCACTTGTTCTTATTGGCATAAATAAAAGTTTCGTTTTTAAAGCAATCTGTCAAACTATTTCATTGAATACGATAAAACAAAATTTTATCAATTTATAACAATGTACACATCGTTTTCTAGTATCGAAGTTTACAACAAATTTAGATAAATCAATACAAACTGCTAATTAAAATTTAATTGTTTTGTATAATTGCTTTCAGTTTTTCTTGATTTTTTTTTTATTTAAAAAAATCTCATAATAAAATCAANGCAACGCAACACATGGGTGATCTGCCAAGAGGGGATGCATCCCAGAGGACTTTCTGGCTCGTGACATGAGGAAAATTCGACTAATTCCACGTGGCTGGCGCGAACCCGCAACTAAAAACACGTGTTCAGAGGTTTTATCCACAAGGTCAATAGTGGGCATTATTCTATAAATAATCAATGAAAATATTCTAAATTAAAACAATAAAGCCTGCTTCACAACGACCCCTTACAACGCGAAACTGTTTTTCGCGTTGCGGAACAATTCCCTGAACGTGTTTGCAGGGCAGATTTTTCATTTTAAGCTGTGTTTGAAATCTAAAGAATCCGCAAACATCTCCAAAAATAAGAAGGTGGAAAAAAGGGATAACGTCGCCATTATTCCCATCGAACTTCACCTATCAGACTAACCAATAAGAGAACTTCTTTTAAGATTCCGCGAAGTAAAGTGCTCTGTGAATCTCACGATTTCCGCTTCGTGAACGATAGAGATCGCATAGTACATAACAAGAGATTACAAACAAACAGATGGCGTTAATATAATTTACAGATAACATTAAAAATCCAGTAAACGAATTACCATTCCGCAAGCTTAATACAAGAAGGGACCGTCCCTAAGTTACTCAAGCATCGTTACAATGCATTAGAAGGAAATGAGTATTTACAGAATGTTACGTAACGTTATTGTTTTCTGAAGTGTCGCATTGTTGTCCGTACTCGTACTATTTGTCACTGCTTCATAACGTTATACATAGGGCTAGGACATCTAGGCACCAAAAACATGTGGTTTTTAGTGCCTAGATAATACAATATAGCCTTAGTAATAATACAATATAGTGCTCTGTTATTCCTTAGCACAATTAAGGAGGTCGATAGAAGATATGCGTTACGTAATTTAAGAACGATCCCCTAACACACTACTAAATTTTATAATATACGGATACAACCATCCAAATAATAAAAATTTATAATTGAAAATGTAAGACACTGACCTTCAGCATTGTAGAAGCAGCTGCAAGCTTAAAGATTCGTCGACTACAAAGTGCAGTTGAGGTGCTTCTTTCTTTCACACAATTTATATGGAGGCTTGATCCCCAAATAGTATCAGCCGAAGTTACACGAGCCACGGGGCTAATACTTTACGAATAACGAAGCTCCCAGAGCTTTCGCGCATCGAGCATACGAAAAACGACATTCCACGCCACAGCTAACGAGTCACCAACACAAGCAATATGTAAATGATGCACTCGCTTTATTTACAATAGGTGCGTTATGCGCATTATCTTTTCTGTATTTAATTTATTATTATTTCCATTCTCTTTAGAGTAAAAAATATTTCTTATAATGAGATAGCATGAAATGACGTCAGATTGACGTAACGGTGTGCACTATCCTGTATGCACCTATAGGATGCAATGCGCGCTCCCTTATGTAAATGAAGAAGAGAAACGTATTCATTTCTTCACAGTGAACAGAAGAATACGACTTACATTTTTAATTTTTTAACGATTCTTTCAGGAAATTGATTAAAAGATCATCCTATTAACTATAAGTAAGCAACTAATTTAATTTTCTAAATAAGTAATTCTTTAAAGTATTCTAGAAGCAATGGTACGACATTGAATGTCGTATTCATGAAAATTAATTAAGAACTTCGGAAAAAAAATTTTAAATTTAGGCCTACACGCTACTCTTGCACACATTTAGCGCCTACCATTGTATTATTAATATATATTTTTATTTTTAGCAGTGTGACATCACTGAAGCTATGGAAAGTCAATTAGTGCAGTTGAAATGGAACGATCAAGAAACAGATCTAGCAAGGACTTTTCATAATTTATTTACCAAAGAAGCCATGCTTGACGTCACATTAGTCTGTGAAGGAAAGACACTGAAAGCTCATAAAATACTACTATCGGCTAGTAGTCCGCTACTAGAAACCCTGTTCCTGGAAAATCCTAGTCAACACCCAATTGTAATTGTACCCGATACGAAGTATTCGGAACTTCAAACCCTCATAGATTTCATATATAACGGAGAAGTTAGTGTTTCTCGTGAAATTTTGCCATCTGTATTCAGAGCTGCAGCAGCCCTGCAGATTAAACGTTTTCTAAACATGGAGGAAGAATTCAATAAAATTGAAAGTGTAGATTCTTCAGTTGCCCAAAATGGTAACGACAAAATTGATTCGCCCAAATCTTCGTCAGTTCGAAAGAAAGGAAGAAAACATCACAGAAAAGAATCAAAAAATATTATAGAAATATCATCTGGGGAGAGTGAAACCGAATCTCTAGTGACCATAGACGAAATTCCAGCAGATACAATTGGTTCTAACAATGCGATAGGATGTGGCTCGGGAGGAATTCCATTGCACGTGGAATACACGTGCTTTTCGAGCCCATTTATTGACGAATCGGTAAATATAAATTGTTTTTTTTTATTGTCATCAGGATTTGTTCGAAGATTTAATTAACCAGTGTAAATTTTTTGATTCAAGGAAGACGAAACTGAAGAATTTGCTTCTCCTTCAATAAAAGATAAGTCGAATGATTTAAATATCACAACGCATGAAAAAAGGAAAATTGGAGCGGATCCATTATCCCAAGAGCCTCGTAAGATGTTGTCAAATTCTTCATGGAAAATTTCCGAAAATGCTTCAGGTAAACTGCTAAATGCAACAGGGGTCTTGTTTTATGCCAGTGGTTAGGTTTAATCCTTGAATGCTCAAGAGTAACTTTAATTCTCTTATGCCGATTTTATTTTAAAATTCAGTATAATGTGTTTAGAATGTTTTTTCTGTTACTTGTAAGGCCCACCAGTAGACAAAATTCACTGATGTTCGCGAGTTCGCACCTCACCAACGGGTCTACCGAGTTTTCTTCACGTGTAACGTTTAAATACGGGCCGCTATCCCATAGAAAAGCCTTCGATAGGTGAAACGTTGCATTGTCTTTATTCCGTCAAGACACTAATACTACTGGGTGAAGTCGCAAATTTACACGAAAATTTGTTTACTCGCAATACATGCTGACGTAACTTACGCGTAAAACAGGACCATACTCTATATCTTTTCACCAAATAACGAATTTTTCAGTTGAGATTTCACCATATCAATTTCTAGCAATCCAAAGTAATTTAACGAACGAGTCTTGGAAGAATTTCATAAATGAAGAGGGCCATACAAATTTAGGTTTGTCGTATTTCTGAAATAAATTTTTTTTGGTACAAGTGTACATTCCCAGGAATATTCCTTGTAAAAAATTTCACTTTAACAATTTCAGAAGTCGAACGAAAGAACGAAGCAAGCATTTCTTCACACGTAAAGCAGAAAACTTCACGCCACAGCAACGAAACGGAGATCAACGACGGAACCGAAGCTGCGGAACCCATGGAGTGTTATCTTTGCAAAAGGAAATTTAAATTTCTGTGTCGTTTTCAGGAGCACATGAAGATCCACTGCGAGCAGAAACCGTATCAGTGCGTAAAATGCCACCACAGTTTCAAGCGCAAAACGGATTTGGCAAGGCACATTCGGATTCACACTAAGCCACTGAGTTGCAATTTCTGTTTGCAGAAATTCGCATTTAGGTGGCAACTAACGAAACACGCTAAGGTACATTCGCAAGACGGTCCTTTCCATTGCGATACGTGCCGAGAGAAGTTTCAGAACGAAACTTCTTTGCAAGACACTACTGATCGCTGCTTGAATAAGAAAACTGCTTGCTGCGAAGTGTGCAGCAAGAGTTTCATCATCTAGTCCCAAGAACTAAACTTTCTGATCGTTCTAATATTGAAAAATTCGCAAGTTAAACTTCAGTATTTTGTGTAGAGCATTGTAGTGTTAAAATGTTTAAATTAAAAACGGCCATTTTTTCCTGCCACCTGGCATAAAATGGCACCCTTCTTGAGTATTTGATTAGAATTATTTATTTATATATACCCAGTTCCTACCTGGTTAAATATCCATGAATTCTAGTCATTTAGGTATGTTTTCATACCTAATATGAATTTCTCGAGTTGATCTAACATTGTGTTTACATATTTCTGTCAGATTGCTCGTGATTAATGTAAACAAGAACATGCCATTCTGTCTTCAGATTGGTCTAATTTAAATGCCAATCGAACATGAGCCGAATTGCAAGTGACTTCTCGTGTTATAGAAGGAAACTATTTGGAAATAAAGGAAAATTTTGTTTCTCGGATAAACTTTGCGTAATATTAAAATACCTAACATAAATTAAACCATCTATTAGGTAAAAATTTCACGTATACCCTAAAAGATTGTGAAATTTGCAATGACATTGTATAAAAAATAACTTGTAGGGACGTTTGTACCATTGCCCCAAGTGCATACCCTCAATTTCTGTGGTAATTTATGGCTAACATCATTCTTATTTTGACTTTTATTAGCCTTTACTATCTTCCATCTTATCCATTGACTGTCTTCCAATTCCTAGTTCTACATCTCACAACTCTTCAATCCTCTTTCAATGATTTTTATGGCAGAATCATACCAGAATTCAGTAATTTAAATCATTTAACTAGCGAGAACGTAGCTCATGCAACGACTTTTTTCTATAAAATTTATTCGAATGCACGAGATTTTCGTAGAATTTGTATAACGAATTTCAGCAACGTAAAACAGAATATTCCAAAGCAGAAAATTCGAATTTATTAAAAAGAAATGGGCGTTGATTATTATGGTGTCTTAGAACTAACTTCTTCAGCCACGGATGATGACTTCAAAAAGGCGTAAGTCGTACCAGAATACGGGCATAAAAATCGATTTTAATCATCAATTCTTACAGGTATAGACGCTTAGCACTAAGATATCATCCTCTAAGGTGTAACGACGATTATGCTTACAAGAGATTTGCTCTAATTTCCGAGGCGTATGATGTTTTGACGAATCGTAAGTGGCGACTTCTTGAATTTTCCTACGGTTCCTGCCATTAATTCGATTTTTTCGTAGCCGAAACGAAGGCAATTTATGATCAATACGGTGAATGCGGATTGAAATTGGGAGTGCCCATTTGGGCAGAGGGCGCAGAAGGTGCCGTTGTAAAAAATTACAGCTTTCATGGAGATACAGAGAAGGTTTTTCGTGACTTTTTTGGCGTTGATAATCCTTATGCAGGTAAATATTTTGTTTCGTGGGCCGATTATAATGGCATGGTTTGGGCGAGTCTAACCTACAGTGGGCTCAAACAGCATTGGCGAGGGATGGGGACAATGCCTCAATCCAAAATATTCATAATAAATCTTTGGGAATGAAAAATCTACAATGATGGGTTTGATCCTTACAGTGAGGCTCAAGAAAATTGATTTCTCTAATTTGAATTTCAGAATATTTTATCCCCAATAATGAAAAAATGGGCAAATATTTGGGACCGGAAGGTAAAATGACACAGCTGGTACCCGACCCCACTCACATAATAGAAGTGGAACTTGAAGAGTTGTTTAGTGGCTGTTTTAGAAGATTAGTGTATGAAAGAAAGGTAACATCTGAATATAAAGGTATATCAGAGTAGTAAAGGGTTTTAAATGATGATCGTGTGAAACGCCAGGTGTTGAACGAAGACGGAGTGACGATGAGATCGGAGACAAAAAACTTGTCCATTCAAATTCCACCAGGATGTCCTTCCGGAAGGAAGTTTACATATCGTGGACACGGACACCAGAATCTGAACTCGGCATATGGAGATGTCGTCGTGTTAATAAAACAGAAGTATTTATACTTATGTAAACATTTATTATAATTTAACTCTAATTTCTCATTTATTTTCTTTAAAGACCACACAAATTATACATTCGAGAGGGAAATGATTTGTGTGTCGACACGAAGGTACCGTTAATGGATGCACTGACCGGCTTTAAAACAAATCTGGACACGCTCGACGGCACTTCTCTCTCAATTGCAATCCCCGAGATAATAAAGTAAGTTCGGAGACATTGGCTTTTATATAAATTCTAATAATTCGCTGAATATTTACATAGGAACAGCTTTGAAGGCAGCTCATAGTTTTCTAAGGGTTACATATAGGCTCTGAAAATAAACAAACTTGAATTAATTTAATTACTAACTAATATTATTTTAATTAATTCGATTTAGACCAGGCACTAGGAAGATATTAAAAGGGAAAGGAATGCCTAACGAAGAAAACAGAAGAGAGAGAGGAGATCTTATCATCAATTTTCAAGTTGTATTCCCTGAATATTTAACCAAAATCCAGAAAGAAATCATTAGGAAAGGATTTTTGCATAAATCTGAGGATAATTAATAGTTTTATTGCATTTCGTGCAGATGTAAATGGATCAGAATGGATTAAAGACAAATAAATGGATAAATGAATCTCATAAACAATGTGGTTATTAATATAAGTCAATTCATTTTAGTATTAAACGTGAATAAAAACCAATTAACCCCTATAGTTCCAGTTTGTTTATTCTTTAACAGGTAAAGAATGAAGAGTAAGGAGGAAAATTTGTTTCTCCTCTCTATCCACTGCAGGTTTGGCTATGCCCACAATACGGGTGGCAGAGCGATGCCTGCCTATGTTTATTTTGGAATGATCTTGCCGGTCTTCTAACCTGAAATCAAGTTTCCTCTCGAACCTCTATTTCTGGAACGAAAAAAACAATGGGCATAGTGAGAATTCATGCAAGTGTATGTGTCGACTGCTATGGGGAGAGAGAAGTTCAAATTTGAAGTTTGATAATGACCTCTAGACAGAGTCAAAATCAAGTGGTAGTTGCATATTGTCACTTGTCAGAGAGAGAAGAGAGCAAGTTTGAAGAGATGCTGTCGATTAATCCAAATCACAATTACAGTGGTATACAATTTACAATCACGTTTCTGAAAATAGAGAAAGAAGGTGACTTCAAATCTTTTTAAAAGGTCTTGAAACTAACATTTAATATAAAAATGTTCAACTGCAATAAAAAAAAAGCAAAACGTTGCTTTTTTATTGTGTTCTTCATTGTGATAAAACTCGCCTCGACCATTTTATTGGAGAAAATGATCCACATTTTTATGCTCTTCACAATAAAGTTCCCATCACAAAGCTCTGTATTAATTACATTGTCCTTATTACAATTATATTTTATATAAACATCATAAAATATTTTATGATGTTTATATAAAATATTTTATCATAAAATAAGTAAATACCATCAGCCAAAGTGACTTATAAAATGTTGAATTTTTCGATTCTTTAGTTATTAACACCTCTGTAGCAGTCGACACACAAATTTGCTTAAATTCTCACTATGTCCATTGTTTTTCTTATTCCCAAAATAGGTTAAATATTATAGAAAATTTGAAGACTCGACTCGATTTCAAGTTAGAAGCCTTGTCTTGTGAGTGAATTGAAATATTAGAATATGTTATCTTTCACCTTAATTAATGGAAATGGGACCTTGTTTTACACAGTATCCAATTAACATTTAACAAATGAATTAAATTTTATGCCTATCAAGTGAGATTGTACATTTGCTTACAAATTATAAATTTTAAACATAAAAATTCACCTTAATAACTTTATAATATATTAAATGTTAAATCCCATTTTCCTCATGCATTCTTTATGGGCTTCTATTAATTTCTGGCAATTTTCTTCACCATTCTGGATAATGCTATAAACAAATATAATGTCATAAAATCAAAATAATCTGTATAATTTTAATTATTTTAACAAAACTTAATAGTGGATTTTAATTATAAACTAATTAATCACTAGTTTTATCTTAAAATAGCTATAAAAAATGCAGAAATTTCAACAATTAATTATAATGTTTTGTTACAAAGCTTAGTTATATTGCAATAAGCAGATAATTAAGGAAAGAGTCAATGACAAGCTTAACCAACCGCCTCCGACTATTAGCAGAAACAATTGTTGATGCCAACTGTTATAGCCATAACATAAGTGTCAATTTTTCAGGGGCACTGCGCATATGGCCACGCAGCCACAACTTGAGATGGAACTTAAATATATGCTCGATTAATTCGAGGCAGCCAAGATTTAGACGCAAAAGTTCGGCAGTCGGCGGTGATTCTCAAACTATAATCCATGAGTGTATGCCAGATCTCAGGTTTTGGGGATTAACATACTTTTTGTTTGCAATTGGAGAGGGACAATTGCAATTAGACATTGTCTTTCATGATCAGGGATGTGTAGATCATCGGTAGGGCCAGAGTCGATCCCCTACTACAAACCAAGAGAAGTTTCATTACATTCTAAACAAAACAGTGTCAGATTTGTAAATGCTTCAAGGAACAGGCCAATTCAAAATCACGCAGTACTGCATTTCCATTTAAAATTAATTCCCAGAATCGTGCGGCGTTGCATCACACCCAATAGATACTTTGAAAGCAGCGTTTTTGTGTAGGTTCTTTCAAAAAGTATCATCCAAATTGAAAAGTTAACAATTTAGGAATTTTCAATCTTTTTATGAAATTTTAAATACAAGAAAAGTTAAAAAATAGGTATCACAGGCAGGAATGGGGAGTCGGCAAAAAAAAAAAAAAAAAAAAAA